ACCCACCTCAAACTCTCAAATGAAATATTGTGTCAAAGGGAAGATTTTACTTGATCTAATGTGGTTGTGGGTGAATGGTGATCACTGACATGAATCCTTTGAAAAGAATGTTTAGCATTTCTTCCTGGGGGTGGGGATAGGACATAGGGTTACTGGCAAAATCACTGTTGGGCTAACACACTCATCCATTGTTTGTGGACTATACACACTGTCTTTCCAAAGCTGTGAGTTATGCCTCAACCTTTTTGACATTTGTTTTTTGATGGGAAGATGAAATATTCCACAAAAATATTAGAATGAAAATATTTAAAAATCAAACAGCATCTGAGATAACTTTATATAACAGGATAATTACATAAACTAAAATCTTCCTAAAAATTCAAGGAATTTGTGGTGTAATCTTAAAAAAATATTTACTTGGCTATTTCCCAAGTTTCTAATAAATAAAAAGCTCTCCCTTTCAGAGTCTGTAGGCACCATAAGATGGACAGTGTGGCTGTCAGATAGAAAAGCAGATGTCTGCTGGTTCCTGGCTGCAAACTGTAAACAATCTAAGAATCTTTTAAGTTTCTTTTTTAAAAAAAATCTGTCCTATCTAAATGTCACTCAGACATGGTTTCATAGTAAACACTCAGATAACGTAGAGTGAAGGGATACTTGGTAACTTTTCCATGTACCTAAACAAAAATGGCAGGCCCTGAGGTCATGTGACCATGAAGACCTCACTCCTTGAAGGTCTGAGAGTGACAGTCTGTGGTTCTGGGTGAAGTCACACAGCCAGGACGAGGAGGACAAGTGGTAATGGAGGGTGACAGGCCCATGGAGCCTGTGGTCCTTTAATGCTCTGTCTCCATCTACCCGTGGATGAAAACACACTGGTGGTGGGCGGAAATGGCTGTTTCCCAGGAAAGGAAGTGGCCTGAGAACACATCTGGCAGACGGTCTTTCCCTCCTTTGGCAGTCAGAGAATGATTTCAACAAAATATTCACTTCCTCACCTCTCATGAAGGTGAATTCCGCAGAGTCAGTGTGTGATTGTAAGCTGATGACTGAATTGTGCTCTAAATATACTGGGCCAGTTATTTAATGTCAAATGCTATATATATATACATATATATATATATACATATATAACAAACTTACATAAACACATACATATTTGCACTAAGAAGAAATTGTGCTAAAACAGTCGTCTCACTTCACCTGCGACTGCTTCTAAAAGGCCCACCGTGCTCTTCTAGCTGTGTAAGTAGCATGGAGTTGAAGAAACAGACAAACAAGGAAGGAGTCATGGAAGTCAGAAAATGAAAGTGTGGGTGGTAATGCATACGCAGCTAGCTGACACATTCAGATATGTGTGGGGTTTGGGGATTCTAAGTCTGCACGGATGAACCGGTTTGCACAGTCCTACAGTGCCATGAGAGCACTGAGAGTCACAGGTCTGGAAAGCTCCCGTAGTACACGTCCACGCAGCACCTGGCGGCCCCATTCTGGGGAACCAAAGGCTACGAAGACTCTGGCTGTAAGGGATTCCATCACTAGACTGATGCTCTCAGGGGTTGACAGCCAACACTACATGGCCAGTCTCCATCTTTCCCAAAGGAAGCTGGGTTTTACCTTCTTAAAACTTGAGTAAACATGATGGCTTTAGGGAAAGCTGGGGAGATGGCTCACTAAGAGTGTTTGCTCTGCATGCACACACACACACACACACACACACACACACACACACACACCCCTGCTTTAAAATTCTCTTTAATTTCATCACCACTGAGGAGACAGCACATGGATGCACTAGGCTGACCGCAGTCTCTTCTCACCTCACGGGGCCTTGGTTTCCACTTTTAACAGGAACAAAGGCTGCATGATGTGTGTATGGGGCCATGTGCACATCTGAAGTTCTCTTATGTCCTTACAGGACCTCCAAGGGGGCTTTCCTCTGGTACTTCTCTTGAGTCCAAGCTGGGGGTTATTTCACAGCCCTTCTGTGCTCCACATGGGTCCTGCCTGTGGGCCACTGGAGAGTGCTGGCAGCTGGTGCACTGATGCATTTCCAATGGAGGGCCATAGTGCCTCTGTACTCTTCAAATCCAGCCCAGCACACACCAAATGGAACAGACCCTAGCACCTCTATGTGGGGCTTGCTTTTACAATGCTGAAATATTCTTTGTTGCCACCCGCCCCATTTCTGGCCAGATTTAGGTGCGTCACTTGTCCTCATTAATGACTACCTAAAATTTGGAGGAAGTACCAGAAATACCCTTTTTCTCTGACAAATTTTAAGTCCACTGAGCTACTAATGCCCTTCCCTGCAAACTAACCTAAGTTGTATATATAAACATGCCGACCATGTTGCCAATTTTAAAGGCGCCAAGGGCAGCAGGAGAGAAGGCAACGAAGTCTCTCGACTTCTTCCCAGTTCCAGCATGCCAGGCGCCCAGAAGTCCCCAGTGTGCCCAACCCCTGCAAAAACACAGTGTCCCAGCTTCGCAGTTTAGGAAATTCAGCACGGAGCGTTCCTCATATACTAACGAGGCACTTTCCAAAAATTAAGGACAAGCTGGCCAGAGGTCCCTGTGCCAGCCAGCCCCCGAGGGGTCTGCAGGCGGTGATTGCATAGGAGAGCAGACTCTGCCGGCCTGGCAAGGGTGAGGAAAGGAGGCTGGCTCAGAGATGCTGCCTTGCTTCCTGCAGAACGACCATGCTCCGAGTGCCTCTCCAGAGTCCGAGCTCTCTTGTGTTTTTCAGTGGCTTCAGCTTTTACAAAATGTCCCTTGTGTATGGTCAGGGTTTCACCAGCCCCAGTGCTCTCCCTGGATGGGTACAAGGTCCCTCGTCCACCCACTCATCTAACTAGGGACAGAACTCACCGGTGACATCCTGTGAGCTGGCTCACAGTGGCGGCAGGGGCCCTAGGGGCCCACTCACAAATGCTTTCTGGCAGGCGGGGCATGGGGGCTGCCCTACTTTGTGCTGATTTAAAAGTGGTCTCATCTGGCTTCCTATGACATCATTCGCACAGAGCAAATGATCTGCTAGGTGATGTGGGGCTGCTGGAGGCTCTGACAGTTTTAACTCTCGGATCCAGACTGCGGGGGATCTGTACGACACCGGACCTATACTCCCGCAGGACCAGAGAGGCCACAGCCTGAGGGAGATCCTGTAGCCTTTATCTTGGCTGAAAAAGGTGACATGATGCTCTGGGACCCATGGTTAAAGGTCTTTGTGGTATGGATAGCTTCCTTTTGAAGAGCAGGAAACTGAGTCTTTCTGGCACCATCAAATGACTTAGTAAGAACTAGAATAGTTCTGCAGAGGATAAACGGGGCCTCTGAAATTTCAGCAGACAATATGAAATGTGGCAGAAAACAAACATTATTAAGAAAACAGCACCATGCACAGCTGCTCTGCAGAACTGCTGGGGTAGAAGGGCAGGCAGACAAGCTCTGGAGAAGGCTGGGATAATACTCCTTGGTTTGTAGCTTCACCTGCCTTCAGTGATCCTGTCAGCAGGTGAATAAGGGAAATGCATGATTTTCTGGAGAACAAACACTTTGGTGGAACCACCCTGAAGCCCAATTAGAGGGTGGAGGAGCCTGAGCAAGTTTAGTCACTACTCAAGGCCAGTGGTAGGAATCATGGGCCACTGGCTGGAGGCCTTTACAACCTGGCCTTCTGGTCACTCTTGGCCAACCTGGGGTCTGTGTCCAGTGAGGGTCTCCTGTGGGTCCCCTCAGCTGCCCAGCTGACTGCAGAAGCCACTCTGAGTTCCTATCAATGGTCCCTCCAGAGCTTATGAGCCACAGAACCCACTAGTTCTTAGTACAGCCTATGGGCCTCTTCCCAGATGATACATGTGACTCTGTTCAAATACCTGATATCAAGACCTAGAGATGTGTCTAGTCAAAATGCAGTGCTGAGTGTGGGCTTGAGATGTCTGTAAAAAAGCGATGATTCCCACTGAAAGTGTGGCTGGCTAACGACTCATAGATAGAGCAGAAGGTATATCCCAACTAGAGACCTAAGACATAAAGACATGTTCTTTTCCTGTCCAAGTTCATGGGCCCCATGAGTTCTCCCCAGGGACCTTGGGGCAAGGACCCCATTCTGCGGGTAACTTGGGAGTCCATCTGTTTAGAGAATGCATCTTTAAAAGACCTAGCTAGAGTTCCTCAAAACAGACACTACAAAACAAAATCCACTGTGCAAATTCCAGATTCATCTATGATCTAAAATCACAATTCTTTGATCCCCTGAAAGCTGGTCTTCAGAACGCAGAGCAGCCCACAGTGTTCCGAGGATATATGCCCTCTGAGATAGCACACGCTGGGGAAATCAGTCTTGAGCACTAAGATTCCAACAGGTTGCAGCCAAGGTGATCTCTGGAGTATCAAGTTGTAGTTATTAAAGGAAGTAGCTCCAGACCTACAGCACCACAGAACTGGAAGAGTCCTGGAACTTAGTAAAGCCCCTGAATTTTATGGCTAAGGGCTTTAGAGCTTAATTAAAAGGGGGAAATGATTTGCCGGAGCTCATGAGTGGGACTAATTCAATTAATAACATGTTACAGAATGATGAGCTCTGAGCAAATTCTGATTACAAGAGAGTATGTGTCCCCCTCTCAACACACTTTATTTAAATTCTGATTTTCTATTCTAACTTAACAGCCCAGGGTATTTTAAGTTTACTCTGAATATTTAAGTGAAGATTTTGTTTTAAATGAGAAACATGTTAGTGCTCAGAAGCTAATCTTGGTAACTTGATTTAATAGTATCAAACAGGTTTAAAGCAAAAGTTATGCACAACGTAGCTCATACATAAAAATCGAATGATGCCAATGAGCCTGTTCCTCCTGAAAAGTCACAGTTTACAAGAACCAGTCTTCCTCTTTATTTATAATAACAAAAATAAACCAAAGCCCTGACATATTTGTCGTATTTTTACTCCTAAGGAAAAAACAGGAACTTTCATTGTGCTTTAAAATCGAAGTGATTACCTCAGATAGTGTGCCAGCTTGGCCTGTGGACCGCCACAGACAACAGAGCCCACGCTCTCTCTAGGAAACAATTAGGGTGGTGCCTGAGGCTCGCGGGCCGGGGCTGCTCCTCGCTCCCCAGGCTTTCTGCAGTCCTCCGGCCGGGGTGGCAGGCATTCGCGCTGATCTTTCCTGTTGCCTGGCTAGTGACCCCCTACAGGAAGATAGCTGGTGAGCCAGGGGGCGGAGCAGCCCGCTGCACGTGTCTGGCTGCTCATATCAACTTATCATATAAGGAAGGGAAAGTGATTGATTCGGATACTGACAGTAGACCGGGGGAAGAAACAAAGGCAGGGAGCCGCTGTGCAGAGTCGGGGCAGGCCTCCAGCGAGCAGCGCTCGGCCCTCCGCAGGGTGACGGCTGCAGGGGACGGTCGGCAGCAGAGGCAGCGCCGGGACCCAGCCGCTGCGGGAGCGGGAGGAGGAGGGGGTCTCACGGATGGACTTGGCCGCTCCGCACAGCCCTGAGGTCTGACGGCCAGGGGTCGGGACGCCCGTGTGCCCGCCGCTTGCTGAACGCGCAGCTCCTAAGCCAGAGAGAATGTGGCAGATCGTCTTCCTGACTCTGGGCTGCCACCTCCTCTCGGCCACAGCCTACAGCAGCGTTCGGAAGAGCGTGGACGGCACCGGGAAAAGGCAGTTCCAGGTGCAGAACGGGCCCTGCAGCTACACCTTCCTGCTGCCGGAGGCCGACAGCTGCCGCTCTCCCTCCAGCCCCTACGTGACCAACGCGGTGCAGAGGGACGCGCCCCTCGACTACGACGACTCAGTGCAGAGGCTGCAGGTGCTGGAGAACATCCTGGAAAACAACACGCAGTGGCTGATGAAGGTAGGGCGCGGGGCTGGCTGTGCGGAGCGGCGGGAGCAGGGACCAGGCTGTGGGGTGGGCCGGGCCGCGAGCACCTGGGCAGGAAGGCTCTTGCTTCGGCGCTGCCCCAGGGGAAAGTCGTCCTGGGGTGAGGACTGGAAAGGGGGTTATCTGCGAAGAAAATCCCTGGGGCTGGGGACCTTTACCGGCTCGGCGGAGGAAGTGTGCTTCCCTGCAGATCTGGCAGGCCGTTTTGTTTGAGTGGCAGGGGCTGAGTGACACCCCTTACCGGGTCTTCTCAGCTGGGTGTCGGCATGTGAGGGAGGCTGCGGACGAGCAGCTAGGAGCCCGGAACAGCGGACAGTCACGTTAATTACAGATCCTTAACGGATGCAGTCAAGTGCTTTACCAATTTCCTGAATTTCTTCTACCAAAATAGATCGTGAGTCTTGGTAAAACAGAGGAAATTAAATAAAGCCGATCGTATGTTCTCAGAATCTCAGGGCTCTGCAGTGAAGGGGTTGCCATCTGGAACTGGGGGCTGTATCCCCAAGTGTCCCAAAGGCACTGCAGCCCCGTTCAGGTCTAGCCATCTACTCCAAGTGTGTACCCACGTGGGACTGCTGAGTTCAAGCGGTGCCATGCTGAGAGGGTCTGACAGCTTGTTCTTGGGGCTGAGACAGTCTCTCTGTTTCATGGCCTTTTTATAGAGCGTAACCAAAATAAGATATTGAAAACTCCGTTTTCCTTTCAAATGATTGTTTTCTACAAAACCCCAGATGACCCTGGAGTTTTCTTTATATGAACCATATGTATTCCACAGGAAGTTTAAACAAAACATGGAGATAGGAGATGAATCAGTAAGCGCTGTGACATGACATCACGTTGCAATGCTTATGAGGTACTTATTTAGAGCCAGCCATACAAAACCCTTTAAAAGTTGGTGCGGTGGGCTTTACCAAATACGCCTTCCCAGAAAAGCATAATTTTTTTCTCAGTCTTTCACTCCACCAGAAACTCTTGATTAGGTTGCCTGATCTCAATCTCAGTAGCTATGGGCCCTAATCTAGTTCTCATGTGCACCCTATTTTCAGAGAAGCAACAGCCCGACTTGAGCCTTGAGTCTAAGTGGGTAAGTGCTCCAGGCATGGCTCTTGTGGAGGGGGGGAAAAGGTCATTCAAATCCAAGAACAGCAACGAAAATGGAAGACAGAGGGTGCAGCAGAGACTCTTCCTTAGTTACCGCTCTCATTTCCTAGGTGAATTCCTCAGTGTGTGTCTCTCTAAAATTCACCTATATGCCTACATAACACTGAACTGCACAGTCTTTAGCAACACTAATTCTGCAGCCTGGGCAGCTGTGTGTGTGATGTGTGTCCCAGGTGTCTGCTGCTGTCCGCTGGGAACCAGCATGCTCGCATCTAGGGACGTCCCCCATCTACTGTGGCAGGGTGTTGGGGTTGTTGGTGAGCAGGGCCCCCCAGAGGGAAGAGGCACAAGCATTGAGTGAACACTCTGTTGACTACACAGTCCTCTGCTAAGATCAAGTCACAAAACTAAAAAGAATGCTTTGGCCAAGGGCAAGTTTGCTCATTGGGTGCACTGAGCCCAGGCTGGGTATACCTGGACTTCTGTTTCCTGCTGGGGGCAAGCAGCCTTCGCATGGAGCTTTGAGATTCAGGTTAAAGTCAGAACAAGACCAGGAACTCAAAGTTTGACGTCTACAATCGCAGCCTTCCTAGGGTCCATTAGTAAATATTTGAACAGGAGCACAGTGGTATTTCAAAAGCCCCTCTTTAGCTTCTTAGCTGACTACCACCAAGGGGGTGACTTGAGGCTTATCTGTTCATCAGCACCTGTTCCCTCTGAGACCCACACCTGAGAGAGGCAATTTGCCAGCTCATTCACTTGGTTTATGGGCTCCAGGCTTGGAAACAAAAGCAAAGAGTCAACATGAAGCCCACTGGAGTGACGAAATGGAAGCTTTCTGCTTGTCTTTCTCCTGTTTTGGCACCTGCAACAATAAACACGGCTTTTCTCCTAAGGAAGAAAATACTGTCCAGTGCAGCCACAGATAAGCCCAATAATTAAAAGAGCAACAACACGACCTAACACCTATTTATAGAATACCACTGAAAGAAAATGCACAATTCTGCTTCATTGTTCCACGTGTTTTCTTTGGGGCTGTTTTTTTCTCTAATGTTTCCATATTTCCTTCCCTCCCTGATCAACGCTAAAAATGATATATACAAAACTCACCAAAGAACCATATTAAGCTTTTAGAAGTTTTAAAACTTGTCAGCAGAGAAAATAAGGCCCCGATTCTGGTTAGTTTTAAGGCAAATGAATAGTATTTCGACTTTTGAGTGGTGAGCATAGCCCAGAGTTCAGCCTAGAAAGCTTGGCCATCATCAAAAGCTCCCTCGGCACCCCTTTAATCTGTCATGCGAAGGAAGTGTCAGACTTCTAATGTGGGGACGGGAATGCAACAGTTCAGGGGAAGGCTCAGTGTCTGTGGAGTGGTTAGAAGGATGAGACAAATTCCCGACTGTCCCCGGATCTCACCAGGTGACCACCTAAGTGCTAAGCTAAACCTCTGTCCCAGTGACACTAAACATGCTTCACGCAGACCCCTAACCTAGCAATACACATTGTATTTGGCTAGGTCAAATGCTTTTTTTCCCCAAGAGGAAATATGGAAAGGAAATAAACAACTGTTTCATGCTACTGAATGCCTTATATTTTATAAACAGCTATGAACTCTACTGCCACTTTAAAAGAGAATGACTTGAAAAATAAAACTAATGCTTATGAGCTTGACGTAAACATCTCCTTGGCCATACTCCGTTTGTCGTTATTTGCTAAACAATGCAACTTCAAGCCAGGATTGGCAATTCTTTTCTTTCTTTAAAAGATATCCTTTAAAAAGGTTTGAAAGCTGCAATTCATCAGTTGATGCGGAGGGAACAAGGCAGTTAGGCTCCTAAAAACATAACTGCTGCCAAGGGGAAACTAATGGCAAGGGGTTCACGGAGGAGGCCTTTTAGGCCCTCCCCACCCCTGCAAGGGAGGGGTGTGTGTGTGTGGGAGAGGAGAGAGAGAGAGAGAGAGAGAGAGAGAGAGAGAGAGAGAGAGATGAAAATACTGTTCACCTTCTCACAGAAAGGCACCATTTGTGATGTTGCCCAGTGTCTGGCGGTGTTTGGAGAAGCACAGCCCTTGTTTCCCAAAGTTGATCACCCTGGTTCTCCCACAGCCTGTCTTTGGAAACTCTTATTTATGACCTATGTGTGGAAACAATAAACATGGGTGCATGTCAGGGACTGGGAGTGTGAGAGCTGGGGAGCCCCAGAAAACAGCTTCCCAGCTTTGTGTGAGAAGCGAGAAAGAAGCAGCTTTAGTGGGCCAGTTTGAGCCCTTTCCTCCCTGCCAGAGTGCAAGTGCCAGCTGAGGCCCTGTGCCTTGTTTTATTGTGTGAAGTCAGGAAAGAGATCTCTCAATTATCTTCAAATTAACTGCCTCTTGCACAGAGAGACAGAGAGAGAGACAGAGAGAGAGAGAGACGAGAGAGAGAGAGACAGAGAGACAGAGACAGAGAGAGAGAGACAGAGAGAGAGAGAGAGAGAGAGTTTTATCATGCAGAGCGGCAAAACCCTCCTTAGCTGTGAATTTTGTAATACAGCCTGGTTCACTAAAGGAGCCCACAAGATACACATGGACACTGTGCCCTCTAGCCGTGCTCCACGAGTTACATACTGAATTGGGAAATATGCATGTGTTTGGTATTAAAAGTAAGTTTTGTACATTGAGATAAGCCCATTAAAACATCCATTCAAGATCTCAGGGAAACAACTGCTATGATTTTGTTCATTACACATCAGGACCATCTCTGCGCAGTGTGAGAAAGGCAAGCTTCATTAGGGTAGAGCAGGTCAGTATACTGAAGTCTGAAAAGTGCCATCTATAATATATATCTATGTTTGCAATGTAGTCATGTTCACCACAGTAGGCATGTATCTTACCTGTTATATGTAGTACAGTACGCGCTAACTCCACATGGTATGCAAAGGTGATAAATGTTTACATCAATGTGATATAGTGTATCTAATTTGTTTGCTAAAGTCAGGTGGTCCCAAACAGGGCTGTGTGGCATGCTGGTTGACTCTTTAGGTATCATCCTATGGAGGTGATCAGCCTGCAGAGCCTGGGGTCAGGAAATGATTTCCTCCATAGCTCCCTATTGACACAAGAGACAATCCATTTGGCCTCAGCGCAGAAATTGGAAAATCTGTCGAATTTGATCAGCAAGGCTCTAAACAACTGACAAAGGTTACAATCCAGAAGTTCAATCGTAAGCTGGTCCCTGTATCTGGAAGCCGGCAAGGATGACCTTATAAATGGTAGTCACGGGTCATGGTGGCTTACCGTGCCTATTCTAACATATATCTGAAAACGTGGGGCTGAGAGATGGCTCTGCTGGCAATGTACTGGCCTCACAAGCATGGAGAATGAGGTCAGATCCTGAACTCCCATGTAAAAGTCATGGTTAATGCAGCAGTAACCCCCCAGTGTGGTGGGCAGTGCAAAGACAGATCCCTGGAGTTCAATGGCCCGCTAGTCCAGCTGAATTGGTGAAAAGAGGTTCTGTGAGAGACCCTGCTTCAAGAACTAAGGTGGGGAGTGGCAAAGAAAGCTTCCTGACATTTACCCTTGGTCTCCCCATGTGTGTACATACAAACATACATGCACATGTGAACGTGTGCATACACAAATACCACATACACACAAACTCTAAAAAGTTGGTATTTGTAATTTAAAAACAACAGTTCACATCAACCCCACCACAGAGGTAATTAAAAAGATTATGAGAGTAAGACATGGGCGAAGTTAAAAATTAGACGGAGAGGAAAAAGAAGACCCTTCTTTGTCTCTGTCCTCCTCTCCAGTCCCTTCCTGTGAGGCCAGTCCTCCAGAGTTTATCCTGGCCCTCTTACGGTAACCAATTTAATACAAAAATCTAG